TATATGAGTTTTCCCTTTAAGATCATAGTGCTTATTAATGATAGGGTAAAAGGGCAAAATATCCACAAAGTAGTTAGCCACAAACACTTAGTATTCTAAAGTAATAAAAAGGATAAAAATACCCATAACGTTACATGAATGGGTGCAAAAATAATCAGACCATTAACTTTAACCTAATACTGTTAACTTTGACTGTTGAAAGCTAACTGTACATGTCACGTGTCAGTCTTTGCTGACGTGGATTAAAAAAAGGGTAAAAATACCCATGAATTCATCAACCAGGAGCAAAAATACCCATAATGTTACTAGAATTGGTGCAAAAGTGACTAATACATTTAATTCTTTAAATGTTGACCGTTTAGCTGACATTTAAGCAAAAGCTGACCATTTTTTCACTGATGTAGATAAAAAATATTCCTAGATAAAATTTTCTAGAAATTAATCAGTTATTGTATGAATGTCATGTGAGAAAATGTTATTTTAACTGAATATCAAATTAAATTGCTCGTTTCTTTGCAATAGTAACAAAAATTATTTAAAAATTTTGAATTTATTGTGAATGCAATTGCTTAAGGTTGTAACAATGTTTTAAGTTAGATGTACTCAGTCTCGATCTTTAATTTTGAACAACCTATCTCACTATGTTAAATATCAAGTTTTATAGATAAGAAAAATGAGTGAAGAGGGAGAAAGGAAGGAGGTGAGATATGTGGTGATGGAAAAAAATCATATGGCATTGATTTTGACAAATTGATCACTATTGTATCTATTAAAGTAACATTATAGGTACTCATACAATGATCGATCAATATTCATAAAAATTTATTTTGGAATTTTTTTATCTACATCAATAAAAAAATAGTCAACTTCTGCTTAAGTGTCAACTAAACGGTCAACATTTAAGGGATTGAATGTATTGATCACTTTTGAACAATTTTGATAATGTTATGGGTATTTTTACTCCTAGCCGATGACTTCATGGGTATTTTTACACTTTTTTTAGTCCACATCAGCAAAGATTGACACATGGCATGCACAGTCAGCATTTAACGATTAAAGTTAATGGTGTTAGGTTAAAGTTAATGATTTGGTTATTTTTGCACCCATTCATGTAACGTTATAGATATTTTTATCATTTTTATCACTTTAGGATATTGGGTGCCCATGGCTAACTACTTTATGAGTATTTTTATCTCTTTACCTTTAATGATAACCATTAAATGTCATGTGGCCATCATTCTCTTTCTAAAAAGTTAACTCATTAGGACATGCAAGGTAACTACTTATATAGTCAGGACTCTCTCCAAGTCCTTTCGATATGGGACATGACATTATGCTATGTATGATGATTTCGTTTGGGCCTCTATTTTTTATTTTATGTCAGTTCTCTACTTCTAGGCATCAACTAGTGTAGATGTTTGTATTAAGTGAAATATGTATATACATATACATACATACATACATATATAATATGCAATATTGTTTCATTGCATACCAATAATATAATTTTATTAGAATTTGTATATTACTTAATTTTAATGATTATCATATAGGATTTTTTTTTTACCAATATTATCATATAAGATTAAAACAGTTAGAAGTCACGTGCATAATAATATAAGAATTTATGGAAAAAAGTTAAATAGAGCTGCTAAATGTGCGTTTGGTTTTCAGTTTGTCAAAAGTTCATTTGGTGAAAGTTCATTTAATGAAAGTCAGTTGTTGTAACGAAATTTGTGTTTGGATATATTTTTCAAAAGTCAGTTTGATACATTGAAAGTTGTTTGATTTGTGATAGTGAAATGTGCTTTTGAATGTACAATTACCAAAAAGAACATTGATTTATAATGATTTATAATTTTTATTATACAAATGTAATATATTCAAAATATTTAAAAAATGTAATAAAGATTATAAATAACAAATTTTGATCTATAATGCTAAAAATTTGATCTCTAATTATTTGTATTTTTTAATTTGTAATTTTAAAAGATGTAATAAAGATTTGTAATTTTTATTATACATTAATGTTAAAAATTAATATGATTAATTACTCAATTTATAATACTAAAAAAATTGATACCTAATTATTATTATTAAAATAATAATTATATTTTTAATGAATTAATTATTTTTTAAATAAAAAAATAAGAGATTAAACTTAGGGTAGTATGGTCAAATAACATTCTACTTTTCAAATCCACTTTTCAAAAGTTTCAAATAGTTACATTTCAAAAATCCACTTTCAGCTACTGTTTGAATGTACTTTCAGAATGTGCTTTTCTGCAAAATATTCTACCCAAACAACTTTTAACTTTCTGAAAGTGAAATTTTGCTTTCTGAACGTAAAATGAAAGAAAACCAAACAGACCCTAAAATTGCTGAGAAGTTGGGTTGAGGAGGAGGCCAGTTTCAAACCTTGAGTATGGATGGTTTTTTTTTTTTTTTTTTAATACAATTGAGTGTAGAGTTTAGACGATGGGTTCAGTAGATGAGGCCTACCCCTTCAAATGAGTCCATTGTTTTGGCAATACCATGTTCTACCAAATTAAACCCTATTCCGACGTGGACTTTTAGGCATCTCGGTTCATTTTTCTTTCCTAACCAATACCAACACGCCAGTGGGCAATCGGTCAAATTGAAAAGAAATACAGTCGGCATTTTCAAAGTGAGAGTTCAAACCTTAAAAAATGATATACTTGATAATTAACATAATTTATAAAAAGTTATTCTATTGACACCCTGTTACCATCATAAGGTTTGGATTAGCCTGGGGCAATAATGAACCCAATATATTTTAGGATATCAGATGATTTATATAAAAAAAAAAAAACTAATATCAGTACAAGTTTTATCGGATTCACTCTATTCATTTTTTTTCTTTTTTAAATGACATCGCTGTCTCTTGATTTACTTGCTGATATTGATTTATTTCTATTTGTTTACATCCCTTGAATTGATGTTCATTCTCTTGATTTTTCATCGTTAATCTTATATTCATATACATTGGATTTAAGGTTTCAGCTTGAAGGCATAAATGAATAAAAGAAAAAACTTATATACTTAAACTAAAATAGTGTTTATTTTTTTATTAAATCAAAATATGTGTATCTATATAGATTATTTATTTTATAATAAATTATTGGGAAAATATACATTTTGATTCCTGCACTTTACTCATATTTTGCTATAGGTTCTTATATTTTTTTATATCTTGGGTCCCTATATTTTCATTTTTCAGTGTTTTATGTTAATCCAAGTTCCCTATACTTTGTGTATTTTATTCATTTAGAGATTTAGAATATTAAAAAATAAAAGTGTGGGGACCAATAACCCTGAAAAAAGTGCAAGAACCTATAATAAAATACAAGCAAAGCGTAGAGATCAAAATGTATGTTTTTCCTAAATTATTGTTATCAATATTGTTAATATATTAAAATTCACATATTTTGGCTTGATTAGGTAAAAATATATTAAACATATAATAGTAAGTATATAAGTTGTGTCCATAAATAAAATAGCTTTAGATTTAATAGTGGATTTAAACTTTTAAAAAGTTAAATGACGTTTGGTTAAATTTTTGTTAGATAAAAGCACATCTAAAAAGCACACTGAAAGTGTAGTTGAAAGTGAATTTTATCGACTTGATTTGAGAGAGCTTTTTAAAAGCACATTCCCAAAGCCTATTTGCTAGTGTGTGATGAGAGTGGAGAGGCGTAAAGTAAAAATTAAATAATGACACTAATAACAATAACAATGATAGAATAAAATAATGAGAACAAAAATAGATCGAAAGCCGTAAATAAATAATGGAATATTATGCCCTTGTGAGTCTTATGTGAGTTGTGACAAAGTAAAGGGGCAATGCAAAAGTGAGGTTTTTTGAATTAATTATATGTAAATTTTTATAAAGAATAATTATTAAAAATTTTTTATATTGTTCATTTTATATTTTATAATTTTAGAAAAAATTAATCTGTTGATTCTTATAGTTTTCTCAATTTTGAAATAAGTATTTGTAATTTATTTTGTTTTAATTAAAGTCTTATAGCTTGATCCATTAAATATATTAATCCATGTAGGTTTAAATCAATAATGAATTATTGATTTTCTCAAAAAAAATTACTTTTCAAGTTATAAAAACTTAATTCAAAATTGAAACAAGCTAGACATGTAAATATTTTTTATAATTTAAATATTTCAAATTTTATATTATATATACATTATTATTACTTTTAAATGTCATTTTCATCCTATGCTATCAAAATAACTCTTAGTTTAATAAATTAATTTTTTTAAAAATATATTTAAATAGAAATTTTATTATGACAACTTGCGAATTAGCTTTTGATAAAGTGAAAACCAAACGCTAACTTATGAGACTAAGCCACTAAGGAAATCAATTGGGAGACGCCAGGGTCTTTTAATTTGAAACGGCACCTCAGAGTTCTGACCGCTTGCCGTCTCATGTGACGCACAATTCAACGACATGTTTTAAATTTTTAATTCCCCTTCTTTCGCCAAGCATTTTCATGAATCCTCTACATATTTCTACATCACACGATAAAGGATGACAATATGATGACGATACTTCATACGATACTTTCATTTTTTTTTTAATGAAAATGTGTGGCAAAGTTAACAGCACTAAAATAAAAAAATAGGTGAACTAATATTATTTAATTTCCTACCAAGTAAAATTCATATTCACAATTGTAATTATTTATACCTATATTCTTGTAATTTAACATACCGTAATATAAAAGTTTTGCTGGGGATATCGAAGAAGAATGTTCAAGGTTCAAAATGGGAGCGAGCGAAAGCAGTTCACATTCCCACAATACCGACAAAGTTGGTAAATGAGAGGGTCCAATAGTGGTCGTTGCCGAGAGGCGTCACGGCTGCTGTCATCTGAGTATCTATTTTCAGAAACAAAACGTTAAAACCCCTCACTCTGCATGATCCGTTCAACATATATATATATATATATATCTACATTCTCCCTCACTGTGTCTGACCTAGTTACCGTCACGTTCCTTTGCATATTCTCACAATGACCTGGTGGCGCTCCCCTGAACCTGCAAGCCATTGGCATTCCCTTCAAGACCACCAGAGCGTGGCTCTTGTGATCGGTGTTACTGGCATCGTCGGTAGTAGCCTGGCCGAGATCTTATCTCGCACAGACACTCCTGGCGGACTATGGAAGGTCTACGGCGTCGCTCGCCGTCCTCGACCTGGATGGAACGCGGATCATCCCATCCAATATATCCAGTGCAATATCTCCGATCCAAATGACACCGAAGCCAAGCTCTCTGTGCTGACCGATGTGACTCACATCTTCTACGTGTCCTGGACCAGTCGACCCACTGAGGCCGAGAACTGCGTGGTGAACGGAGGTATGCTCAGGAACGTCCTCTGCGCCGTCATCCCAAATGCACCAAATCTTCGTCACATTTGCCTTCAAACCGGTGCCAAACACTATGTTGGTCCCTTCGAGTTAGTTGGCAAGATACAGATCCATGACACACCTTTCACCGAGGACCTGCCGCGACTCGACGGGCTCAATTTCTACTATGTCCAAGAAGACATTCTGTTTGAAGAGGCCGGCAAGAAGGAGGGCTTGTCTTGGTCCGTTCACCGTCCTCAAGTGATATTCGGGTTCTCACCATATAGTTTGATGAACCTGATCGGCACACTTTGCGTGTATGCGGCCATTTGCAAGCACGAGGGGGTTCCCTTGAAATTTCCTGGCTCTAAAGCGGCGTGGGAGTGCTATTCCGTCTCTTCAGATGCTGATTTGATCGCAGAGCAGCAGATATGGGCGGCGGTGGACCCATATGCAAGGAACGAGGCCTTTAACTGCAACAATGGGGACGTGTTTAAGTGGAAGCATCTCTGGAAGGTGTTGGCCGAACAGTTTGGGATTGAAGAATACGGGTTTGAAGAGTGTTCGGATTTGAGGTTGTCGGAGATGATGAAGGACAAGGGCCCGGTATGGGATAAGATTGTGAAAGAGAATCAGCTGCAGCCTACAAAGTTGGAAGAGGTCGGTGACTGGTGGTTTGCAGATTTTATGCTGCGTGTCGACTCCGTATTGGATAGTATGAACAAGGCCAAAGAGCATGGCTTCTTCGGATTCAGGAACTCCAAGAATTCTTTTATAACTTGGATAGCTAAAACCAAAGCCTACAAGATTGTGCCTTAAGTAATGACATAGGTGAAAGAACGGCGTCGGATTGAGTTGTTTCAACTTCTTGGTGAAGTTTTTAGGTTACATAAAAATATATAATTAAAAGGCTTACAAGATAGTGTATCACGGAATCGATTTCGGTGCTGAGCAAGCTGCTGAATACTGTGATGCTCATCATCCAGCAAGATCTGAACCATTCAAATTTTTTTTAATTTGAATGGTTCAGATTTTTTCAATTTTAATTTTATATTTTATAAAAATAAAATTTATAATTTTTTTTTGATAAATATATTCATCATCAATTTGAACAATATTGATTCAATCTTAAATTCAAAGTAATTTAATTTAATATTATAATTTTCATAAACTAATTATCTAAATATACTCTGAACAAGACAGATTCAATATTAAATTTTTTAATAATTTTTTATTTTATTAAATTTTTAATATTTTTTATTTTAATAAATATAAAATAAAAATAAAAACTTTAAATCTAGACCTTACAAATAAAAATTTAATATTAAATTTAGACTCTCCAGAATACATTTAGATAGTTAATTTATGAAAATTATAACATTAAATTGAATCATTTAAATTAAATCAGTACTATTTATATTGATAATAAATATATTTATAAAAAATTATGAATTTTATTTTTATAAAATATAAAATATAAAATTAAAATTAAAATTAAAATTAAAAAAATCTAAACCATTTAAATTTAAATGGTTCAAATCTTGCTGGACGATTAGCACCATCCAGTGTATCACATGGCAACAGTCACAAAAGATCCTCTTAGTTTCTATTACTGTTGAATAAGCTGATGAGGTTGTGCTTGTTAAGTATAACAATAATGGAGTATTATATTGTTGCTTAAAAAGAATAAATAAGAAGGGATAGAAAAAAGTACAGCGATTGAATGAACACAACAGATCCTCTAACGAATGACTGACATTGGAATGATTGAATAAACAACAGATCATCAATGGATGGTTGAAAAAATGGATTTTTTTTAATTAATCTTTGATTAGACTATCCATACATCATACAATTTAACTCCTCCTTTTCCCCATCCTAAAAACATTCTCTCAATCATAATTATCAAACTCTCAATTTAATCTTATAAATTTAATATTTTTATATTTTTAATTTATAAAATTATATTAATTTACTTATAAATTTAAATTAAATATAAATTTAATTAAACTCATGACTTTACCTTTAAATTTATTATTTTTACATTTTTAATTTATAAAATCGTGCCAACTAATTCATAAACTTGAATTATATACATGCTTGATCAAATTTGTTAAACTCGTTATTTTTTTTACTTGAGTGAATTAAGCATATATTATGAAGAATTTAATTTATAAAAGTTATAAGATTTAGTTCAAAAAAAAAAAACTTGAAATGTCAAAACTAGTATTAATAAAAAAGAAAACAAAAATTTCAAAAATAAGTTCCTCAATTTTAAATTTTTTATATTTTGTATATGATAATTTATCAATGCATATGAGTTTAATTTTAATGATTTATATTTTTAATATATTTAAATTAAATTATAATTATATTTTAATGACTATTTATTAATAGAAGTAAACTCTTACGAGTTTACGATTTGAGTTTACAATATGAATTTATATTTTTATTATAAGTTTGTTTAAACTTACAAGTTTAATAACCTTAACTTTCAACATTCAAGAGTCATCATTCAAGAATTAAATGAATCGAACAGTGTATGCTTCAAATATAACCTTTGAAAATAATTAATCATTCTACGTCGCTGTGTCTTTTGCTTCTGTCACCCCTTGGATGCAATGTAAATACGATCAAATGCTGTTGAGAGAGGATTCAGGTAGGGAGAGGATATCAATCGAAGATTATTGCGTCTCTTGTAAACCCCCCCCCCCCCCCAATTTTCAGTTCAAAATTTTTTAAAGTTTACAATTTACTTATTCTAGAACACACTTTAACATACACATGGAATGCCTTTAATTAAATAAAAAAAATACAAAACTACAAGATAATAATGTAATCAGATGCATGTAAAATAAAATAAAATATTCAAAAAACATTAAAGAGTGTCCCGTTGAGAAAATACAAAAAGATCAAAAATATGGAATGCGTCTCATTCTCAAGATTTTGCAAATAATATGAAAAATGATCCTCTCTTTTACTTTTAATTTGATTCAACATAAAGAAAGTATTTTGGTACTGATACATGCAAAGAACTCTGATAACTAGGCCAGATAATATAAAACCAAGGCCTACAAAGATTTTAATAATGACACCGGCAACAGAAGAGCATCGGATTGTGATGTTTCAACTTGTCGTCCATGGGGAGTTTTTGGATTCCTCCAAATAAAATAAAACACATTCGAGATAATGTCACATGGCAACAGATTCTCTTATTTTTATATGGTTTATATTGTCGAGGCTCCTGATCGTGCTTTGTCGCAAGAATGGATGTTGATTGAAAAAACAAACAAAATAAATCATTACTCTTTAATTGTTCAAATGAGTGTTGTTGATACAGCGACGATACCCCCCGACTCTCCTGGGGAGATAAGTCCATGCATGTGATTAACCAGCCAGTTACGGCTGGGAATGGAATAGCTCGCGTTTGGAGGACAAAGGGCCAATATGGGATGAGATTGTGAAAAAGAATCAGCTGCAGCCCACGAGGCTTGAAGAGGTCGGTAACTGGTGGTTTGCTGATTTTATGCTGCTTGTTGAATCGGTGATTGATAGCACGAACAAGGCCAAAGAGCATGGCTTCTTGGGATTCAGGAACTAATCCAAGAATTCTTTTGCAGCTTGGATAGATAAAGCCAGAGCCTACAAGATTGTGCCTTAAACGGTGATATTGGTGAAAGAACAGCGTTGCATCGATTTGTTTCAACTTTGTCCTACTCTTTGGCGAAACAATCCCCCCCCCCCAAAGAAAAAAAGAAACCAACTTCTAAAATAAAACGTGATCGAGATAGTGTGTCTTTGTTTGTAATCTATCTGCTGTGAGTTATGAATATATGATTCGCTACATTCTTAAAAGTAAAAATTTTTGTTGTTAAGAACAGTTTTAGTATTTCCACTTTTATGGCTATTAAATTAAATATAAAAAATAAATAACGTTACATTCCATTACTTTTGATTATATTATATTATGTTGAATTTTATGAACCAGAAGGGCTATAGGTTTCCGTCCAATACTAAACTCAAATGGCAGCTCAAGTGTAAAGCAACAAAAAAGTGCAAAGCCACGCTTCTTTCATTCATATTTCTATTAACTAAGGAAGAACTGTGGCGATCTTGCACCCGGGAAATAATCAATGATACGAGACTTCAATCCCAATTGAATATTTTGAGTAAATTAACAGCAAGCTTGGATTTGAAGCTAAACGGAGTTCTTCGAAAGTAGGATGGGTCCAACTCTGTATTGATGGACCAGTGGTTCTAATGAGGTTGCAGTCCTTCATAATGAGAAAGTAAATTAGATAATGGAAGATTTTCAAAATATCTTCACTACCATTCTAGTGATGTGATTGAACTTTTAAACATTTTTGTTCTTAATTTTTGTTGAAATACTAAATTCACATAAATTAATATCCATTCTTTCGCTCATCCAGCATAACTTCTTTGAAAGTTATATATTTAGAAAAACTAACTGTTAAGATGTCATGACCAACTCTCTTCCTCTCTCCAGAATTTTCTAGATTATATTAAAATATTTAGCTTTTAGCAGATTCTTGGTTATGGTGGCGAAATAAGAGAAATAGAGAAGGCTGAGGAGAAAAACTCCACCGACATTGGAGTAGTATGGATCTGCAAGTATGTCATTTGTACGTGTGGTACAGCGAACAGAGAAGAGGGAGGTGCGTGTGTATGTGACGTGAGGTGAGAAGAAAGGAAAAGTGCCAGTGACAAAAGAAAAAGAGAAGAGTGAGGGAAAAATATAAGAAGAGTGATGAGTATTTGTCTAAATTCTAGTTTGAAAGATTAATAAAAATATATTTTTAGGTAAGTCCCTCTTTTTCTTAATCCTCAAATCTCAACACTAACAGGTACGTTGATATACTCGCTTAACAGGCATATCAAGATAATTCAAATCTTCTTATTTTTAATTATTCATTTTTGGCATACAGAATCTTTGACCTTGTTTGGTTCACAGAATTGATGGTAATGTAATGTAATGTAATGATAGGGAATGAAATATAATGTAATGTTGATTATATGAGTTTGTTTGATATGAGATTTGAAAAAAAAATAAAATAAAATTAATAATTATATTTTATTAAATTAACATAAAAATGAAAAGACGTCACTGCCATCATCTAAAAAAATCCTTCATCTTTCCTCTATCATCAAATCACCCTTCTTCCTGCAAAGAGCCAATAACCATTGGGAAAAAAAAATCCTTCAACCTCCTTTTTGCTTTTCCATCGCTCATGTTTGATGAAAATAGAATGATGCAAGAAGAATAATGACGGCAATGACATTATTCACTTCACCAAGATTCAACAATCTCCTTTACTTTCATTTTACTTCTTCAAGTAATACTAGTCACTAGATTTGGACCAACGGAGCTTACAGTTATGACACCCATTGAAACTCACCGAATCTACGACACCCATGATGATAGAGCTTGACGGCACCCACTGTGAAAGAAGCTCAGCATGTCAGCACCAATAATGACAGAGCTTGACGGCAACCACTGAGGAGGGGATCTTCGCATAATGTTTCATTAGTCTTACAACCCATAATTTTCGATGAAGCCACTGGAGAACAAAATAAAGGCCGACGACATGGTTGGAGAGAGGCTAAACCAGTGATGTTGTCGTAGATGGAGGCTGGGCGTGGAAGAGGGAGAGGCGTCGCTTGATTTTTTTTTAAGGTCCATATTGTCTTTTCTTGACCCTATAATCCCCATTCTAAGGTCCAACTATGTAATCTAGATGCAGCCTTCTGTGTAATATTCTCACACCACTATATTAACCAGTAAAACTCATAGTAATTAAAGGATTAAACCAAAGAATGCTTACCAAGGTTTAATTCAAAACTAAAGGATCTCAAGTTTTCAAAAAAAAAAAAGAGTGTAAATTAGACAAAATCCTTCATATCAAAGTAAAGTAAATTTCAGGAGTATGAGATATCTCAGAAGAGTGAAAGAAGTCAAAAATAGTTAAAAAACAAAACATGTGTTGTAATGCAGGGCAATGCACCGTGACTTATGCATGCTATATCATGGTGTGTCACTCTTTGTGCCACGTACTGT